ACTTACTCCATTGATACTGTAAACAAACACAAATATCAGAATCAACTTATATGTTACACTTACTCCATTGATACTGTAAACAAACACAAATATCAGAATCAACTTATATGTTACACTTACTCCATTGATACTGTAAACAAACACAAATATCAGAATATATATTTTTATATATAATGTATAATAATTTAAATGTGACTGTATTTTACAAAATACTAGTTTACTAAAACACAGCCAAGACAAGTTACTTTGTACAGACTAACGGTCAGTTATGTATTATTTGATATGCTAACATGAGACCACGTGTGCCATGTCATTATAACTTCTGTATTGTTAGCCAGGCACGGCTGAAAGGTCAATATAATAAAAATAAATACATATAAATGTATAATATTACGAGATTTAAGATATTTCGTCTAAACATTTATGTTTTCATGTTATAATCTGTTGTCATTCTAGAATGAAAGACATAATTTATATTTATTTCTTAATTTTTTATGGTGGTTACCAGATCAGTCAAATCTACTAAACCCGTACAGAGATTAATTACTGAAAATAACAGATAAAATGTAAAGTTTTTCTTAAGAACATTTGATAACTATCTAGACGTTATAAAGATTTCACATGTGAAAATTGTCTGATACATAAAAGTATTTTTAATCTTAAAATGAAAATTACTTTACATGTTGGATAGTTAACATGCGAAAAGAAAAAAAAAATGGCATGAGAAAAACATTGCTTTACAAACCTTAAGACTTAATAAACAATTGTATATTTTGCGTATGCAAGCATTGTAATGTTCACTGATAATCTGCCAAATTTCATTAACATACGCTTACTAATTTAAAAGTTATAGCATGAAAACTATAACAAACACAAAATGGTTACGAGGTCAGTCCCAGCGACCGAGCCCTTACTGAAAGAGTTAACCAATGTGGAATTGTTCTTCTTAATGGTATAAAAGTTACAGAAATAAAAAATATACAGCAACATAATCTTCATGATCATCATATTTTCTTCATATGAACTGCTAACTTGAGCAAGTTTTGCCATATGTTTAAAAACAACAATACACATCAAATTCAAATCATAGATAATTCTATTAGTGTTCATAAAAACATAAAAATATTGACTTCTTACGTATGATATCACCCTCAGAGATCACAATGAGCAAAACCATTTCTCTATAAAAACTACCTGATGTCATGTACATTAAAGCAAATATAATAACAAACCTCACAAAGAAAAGTATTAGCTTATTATTGGATATGATGCTAATCATAAAGTTTATTAAAGAACTTTCTTTGCATTAAATGTGGTAGAGAAAAGTGATATACCTCACAAAGTCTTAATAACGTTACTTGTATCTCTGGTAAAATTTCCATACAAGTAGTTTACTCAATGTATTAAATCAATTTTTCAAAATTATTTACTACTACAAATCCTTTAATTAACCCTGGTGGTGATACCAGTATGAAAATCAACATTCATTACATTAATATATTTAAATACTCACCCTCTAATTCTGATAACGAAAGCAAGCTTGGGCTCGGCAGGAACAAAGAAGTTTCCTTGCTTCTTCGTCATCCTCTTAAGATGGATGGCAGTTCTTTCCATGCTCCTGTATTCTTTAGCATATTTCATGGCACGTTTGAATATCTCCTTCCTTTTCTGACGACGAACCTAATTAAATGGTGTAACATATTTTACCTCACAGTCACGATAATATATCAACATGAAACAAGGTAGACAGTACTGCTTCCTCGTACCACACTGTGGTGTGACTCTACAGAACCTAATTAAATGGTGTAACATATTTTACCTCACAGTCACGATAATTTATCAACATGAAACAAGGTAGACAGTACTGCTTCCTTGTACCACACTGTGGTGTGGCTCTACAGACATATTTTGTTGAATAATTCAAAGTGACTTACAAATTCTGTATTTGTAGAACATGATAAATAACTACAAGAAATTATCTTAACATTTCGTTTTACAACAGTCTTGAATTATTTACAAACCTTTTTCTGCTTAATAACATTGTCTAAGGCTTTTGCCTTTAACTCCAACCTCTTTTTCTGTTTCTTCAGTAAAGATTCAGGAACCTGTGGTACCTTCTTCGCTTCCCTAAACAATATAAAATTTTTATCAAGATTTGGTCAAAGAAATCTATGATCAAAGAGGGTAAAATTTAATAAAACGTACGTAGTAGAAGCTGGTTGATCACTTGAGTTTGCTAATAATCTTTGGGCTTATTAATCATTTAGATTCAACTAATCGATCACTCTCATGAGACTTGAATAGTCGGAATAATCAAAAAACAGGATGTAATCCTCAATAGCCACAGCACTTAAATTATTTTACACAAGATTAGAGTAAATTAATCTGAGACCCTTTTTTTCCTTTTCATTAGCTATATTTTAGTGCATTAGCAATACCAAGCATGGGGCGCATATATACCCGATTCGAATTTATTACTCATCAGGATTTTTACCAGCCTACCCTCAAATTGATTCTTTTGGAGTAAAGTAATTTACAAGACTTTGGACATCTTCGAATACATCAATCGAAAAGGTTTAACTTCCCGAGTCCAAAACTGTAATTAGATCTCAAATCTGTCAATAGATTACAGAGTTTTGAGCTCAAAGCTACCCAAACTGACAGAATCAAATCATATTTAACTGCACTAATTCATGGGGATTTCCTACAGAACTGGTCACTATTCCCTCCCTGTACCTCTTCTATCTGCACAATCAAACTATTGGACACAAGATCTTATCAATGGACTTCAGTTTTAGCTACCGACCACAAAGACTTGGAACTTCTGAATAAAGAGAGTCAATTCCTTAAATAAAATCTCTCCTGTTTAAATAATAGCTGAATTAATCCACAGATATATTTACTAATGTGGTTAATATCTGTCTACATCCAAGTTCAATCCCTGTTGCCTTTCAACTTCAGTCTCAACATTGCCTTTACTAATATTTATAGTAATAATAGCTAGGCAAACGAGTTATAAGCATAAGGAAAAATTTTATTGATGGCACATACATGTTTTGGCAAAACGCTGGTCTGTCTTCATCAAAACATGTAGTATACTAACATTATGTGCTTCCTTACTGAAATACATATTTATCATACTACATAAGCAACATTCAGGTTATTATTTCCAAAATGCTAATTATATATGCTACTTATCATTTCTGTGGTTATAAAACTTGCAATGTTCATCATCTTAGCTTTCTGGACTGTAAATATACGTGTCACAATGTAATAAATGAAGGACCTACAGGCAACATTGCATAGGTTACTACTTATGTAATGCTGATAAAACTTACGTTTAGACTGTTTAAGCATATAATATCACGTAGCGCTTGGGTTTTTATTAATTTATCCCGTGTCTTTCTGCATGAATAATTGGTAAGTATTTAACAGTAGTACTGCATTATATTCTATCAATAACGCTTTACATATTATGCTTATAGCTGTAATCATTCCAAAAATAATTCCTTCACATTTTTAGTGTGCTAAAACAATCCTTTTAGGTTTCAAAAAACTCAAATTAAAAAGAAAACTAAGCATGCGCCGTGAATTCTAACTTAAAGACGCATTTCTGTCTGTAAGTTATAACTAGTAACTACTACATTAGAAACCATTCACACAATACCACTCGAAAACCTTTCGTCACTAGCGAAGGTAATTCATTGAACACTATACAATTTCTACTCTTTGAGAATATATTTCACAAAAATTATTTAAAATATATTTTAGAAACATATAATATACATTATAATTAAAAGTCTTCATTAAAACTTTAAAAATCACGAGATGCAACACGATTTTGTAACATTCAACATTTGTACTTACTTCGCCATGGTAGCTAAACGTAAAGAGGGCCTTATTCCGCGTTATACTGCCACCTATGAAAATACAACCAATATCCTAAATTATGTTTGAAATATTTTCACGTTAAAAAATAAAAATAAATAAATAAATACATTTGAAAAAGCTTTCCACAAATTGAAGCTAATTAAAAAATTAAATAGTGGAAAGCCTCCTGACTGATCTTTGTGTTTTGTAAAATTATATAAATGTATGTTATGATTCTATATATTAAAATGTTTAAAAATCATATTTTTGATGAGTGCACTGGAATGGGTGGCAACCGCCTGTTGTAGAAAAAACACAAGTCTAGAGAACGACGTTTTAATGGAACTCTTCAACTTTTTTCAGATACTTTTGGAGTGTACGATAGACTAATTATAAAACACTTTACCTTTTACACAAGCTTATGAATTTCATAGAAACAAATAACTTAAAGTGGTGGTGAACCGAATTCATTAATGACATTGCGCTTTTACTTAGCAGAAAAAATTATAATCCTTTTAATTGTTAAACATGTTAGCAGTATATATTACTATGAAAATGATATTCCTATATGGTCTACCTTTCGAAAGTGATCGGATTATAGAGTTTCTTGTTTTTATCTTTAATTTAATTTTTGAATCTATGTATTTTCCTAATATCGCGAATCCTAAAAACCTTGTTCTTCTTGTTTAATATTATATGTTTCAGTTTTATTGATTGCTCTAACATTTTTGGAATAGTCTGTACAGGCATACCAGAGTAACTGCCTCGAATGTCTGGTCTCAGGAGCAGGCAATCCATCACCTGATCCTTAGCTTGGATGTTCCAGTCTTGGACTTAGTTTAGTATCTAAGTGAGGCACAACTGGAAGACTGGGATGTAATTCAAACCAGTGGAGAAGCGAGCACTCTATCTGACTGACTTCAAGGATCAGAAGAGAAATGCGGTGTCCACTAGGAGTCTGACCACTTACTCAGGCGTTCTGCATTGACTCTGTAATGGCTTCTGCATTTTGCAAAAAAACATCCTCGTGGATTGAATATGTTCGACGTTTGGCTTCCAAACAAAATAATGGTTCATTAGATGAGTGTGAAAGATACCCTCGCTCTTACAGAGGCAGTTTCTGCATAGAATAGGTAAAAAGTGGTAGCTCTGAGCCAATCACAGTAGAGGGAGAAACCTGCAACAGCAGCTATTCCTCATATGGACTGTCTTAACTAAGTATCTCCAACATGCTGAGCTCAAACCATGATGATGAATACCAACTACCCACATACCTTGGTGCTGCTAGGTAATCACACTAGTTTCTAGTAAACAGGCAGAGCTATACTGGTCCTTCATGGTTTTTACGTCACAGCCTATACAGATGATGCTTCCACCAGTACATTGTTCTGGAAGAGAGGAACAAAATGTATGCTCATTATAGTATGTTAAATCACTTTTCAGTGAACTAACCATACTCTGGCGAGCAGCAAAATAGGAAAGGCGATCAGTTTCGCCTGATAGCTAAATAGGTGCAGGAGAATCAACAGCACCAATATTATGCCGAGCAGTGAATGAACAAGGCTATCTGTTTTGACCAATGGCAGCAGGTCAAAGAAAACCAACAGCAAGTGGTAAATGCTATCACTACATCTCTGGAAAACTAAAGAAGCCACAGTCAGGCCTCGTCACAGGCTTGGGGAGTATAAAAGACAGCTTGCAGTGAAAGGTGTTGTGTTTAACCCAATTCTCTTAGGGCTGGTTGGAGCTTTGTATGTACTTATAGGGGTAAAATGGTGAGATATTGAGTTCCTGGTTGATACAGGAACAGGTAGAATACTGATAGATATTGTGGTATATCAGGTCGTCCAAGTAATATCATCACTCTGACCAGTGAGTACCAGTTTTGTTCTGGTGATATATATTGGATGTGAGTGGCTAAGGAGATCTCTGGCTGTGTCTAAGGGATGTCACTCACAGAATGAATGTAGTCATCTCTGATCTCAGCTCTGGTATTGGTAACCTAGAGTTGGATATATTACAGAAGTTATCAGTCAGTTTTGTCTTTGCAACTGTTGAGCTGATATTATAAGATGCTGTCCAGATCGAGCCCAGGAAAGATGGATTGCATGACTGTGTGTAGAAAATGAACTAACAGTATCTCCATATGTCCACAAATGGTGTTCACGGTTTTCTCCAGACGAAATTTAGAATGTCAATGATTTGTAACATGTTTATAGAGCCCATACATGAAACAAACTGTTTTCTATCCAGAAAGTAAGCAGCATTAGCTCAGGCAATTATCTGTCCGAGGAGTGTTTTTGTACTTACTTTAGAGTGAATATAGTAACTTACACTGACGCCTTTCTGTTGCTGGAAACAGCTGAATGTCTGCACATGTTGCAAAGTTATTGTTTGTTCAACTCTTTATTTCTGTAATCAGAATACTTGCAGATTGAGGTGAATGACAAGAGCACATCTAAGATTGCTTTTAACATCACTAATGAAAGGCTAATGGAGGTCATACTGAAGGGGCTGCAATGGAAGAGATACTTGGTTTTAACAGTTTTAATGAGAGTGGGTAATGGTAGTATTATATCTGAGAAGCTGGGCACAAAATTTCTATAATATGATGCAAAACTAAAACAAACATCAGACTTTTTGCTTGTTCACAGGTTGAGGTCACTGTCTTACCACTGCTATCTTCGTGGGGCCTGTAGACATTCCATCACCTCCTACAATATGACTGAGTAATTCCACTTCTGTACATATAAGTAAACATTTTCCTGATTTCAGTTTCAAGTCAACTTTCTTTATCTATTGGAATCCCATTCTCAGGTTCTCAACCACATACTCGAATGTGTGATCAAATATCATCAAAAATACTCTTTTGGTAGAGTGAAAATGTCAATTGGCTTGTTTAGTAGAGGCTACAGTGATGACAAGACCGCATGTTCCTATTGGATAGTTATGCTAGTGATAGTAGAATTGGAATAGTGTTATCACAGTTGTAGGATGGAGTAAAATGTGTAATTGCATATATCACACACACTCATGGCTCCTGAATGCAGATTGAATTCTTGATCATTCTGGCCATCTCCTTCTTCAACTGGCTAGGGACTCTCCATTCTGCTTTTCCATTTTCCTGGAAGTATTTTGAAGCTATATAATGGATAATTTTGACGATAGCCAGGACTTCCTTAAAAGCAAAGGATATGACTAAACAGCCAATCCTTGGACTCCTGTTGCTGATCTGACATTCACCATAGCCAAACCCATGAATGAAAATGCATTGCTTGAAACGCAACAGATGTGGGGGAGCTCCCTACATTTGTCATCAAGCTGTTGCTGAGGTCCTCTAAGATTGGGCAGCCCCCGTTGGCCGTGATAGGTTGAACAGAATTCAGGCATCTACTGGATGTAGTAGTGAAGGAGGGAGCAGCATTGATGACTAGAGCTGTGTCGATTACAGAGGAGCAGAGCTTCAGAAAACTCAGCAGCAAACACCACCACCACCACCACCACCACTGCTGACTACTGTGAATGTGTCCATATTTATTGTAACATTTCACGATAATCAGCTTATTCTATGTGGTAATCACCTCTAGACAAAACTAACTCCACCGAAAGGTTTATCTTAGTCTTTTCTTCTCATCACAATCATTCTAATAACTTGGGACATATTTTTGAATTTATGAGGATTGTGTTCTGTGTTATGCTTTTCTAGTATATATAAATCAGTAAACTGAATTAAAACTATCTCATTTTTTTCTATTAAGTATCTTAAAAGCTCTTTCCTGGAATTGTAAAAAAATGTTTTGTAGTAATAATGGGTTCCAGTCTCTGCCTTTCTCGACGATCTGGTTTCCACCAAGTCTGATATTGAACTCATTTATTGTCTGTAGTAGAAGTTTTTTACTTCTTCTGCACTTCATTGAACTTGGTTGGTTTCTTGCAATCTCTACTTTGAGCAGGCTGCTTGCATACCATTGGTCAACTATTGATAGGATTCACTACCTGCTGTCTCATAGCTCTTCTAAGAAGCGATCTCTCACGTATTGTTCTTCGAGTTCTATACAGTACGACAGCTTCACATCAGCAACGTCGCTTTGATAACTTATACAACTATTTTCACTCTGTGCTGTTTATCGAAGGGGATGTTTCTACGATAACAGCACCTCACCTTATTCTAAACTTTTATTAACCAAAAGGGATTTTTTTACGACATTTAATTGTCTACTTCTTCCGGCACTGCTGTTAATCAAAGGGGAGGTTTCATGACAACCACTATTCCGCTTATTCTGCATTGTTTTTAATTAAAAAGGAACGTTTCTATGGCAACTATTAGTTTGCTTATTCTGCACTGCTGTTAATCAAAAGGGGCGTTTCTAAGGAAACTATAACTCTGCTTATTTTGTACTGATGTTGATAAAAACTTCAGTTTCTAGGACAACTGATAGTCTTTTGGATGATCACAAATTCATGATCGGGTTTTTACCTACGTCACGACAGACGTAGCTACTTATACATTAAATAAACAGAAGAGAAACAACAGTTAGTTTATGTTTTTTTAAGTCCATGTGAAACTTCTAAGTGGTTTGGGTTTTAAAGATTTTTATACACGCATGCATATTTCATCATAAGTATAAACAGAAATAGTAAGGAAATATTTATGAGGCAAGAAGCGGCCGCTCGACAACAAGCTTGTTTAGACTGAAAATCATGTCTTTACAGTAAACTTTCTCGTCTAAATATCGCATAAACACACATTATGAGACGATTTAGGACCGTAATATATACCAAATCTTCCGTTTTGTGTGGCACTATGAATAAGTAACGAGAACTTCGAGTAGACTCTAATTATACTTCTAGTACAGACACAAAGAATTATGGGCGTACTGGTATACAAAGTTAATATGCTTAAATGTTGTCAATATTACTTGAAAATGGTCTGTTCTCCATACGATAATACTTGACATTTTAAAAATGTAACTGGTTATAAATGACGGAGTCGATTATTTTTAACCTCCCAAATCGACACGAAATACCTCAACAAACTTACAAGACGAAC